TCCCTCTTCTTTTTTTCCTCCTCTTCATCCTTATTAAATTCCTTTTTTCCTCTTCTCCTTTCTCCCTCTTCTTCCTCTCTTCCAATCCTTATTAAATTCCTTTTCCTCTTCTCCTTCTCCCTCTTTCCTCCTCTTCCTCCTCTTCTGCGACCAACGGAAAAGGGAGAGGCGTCTGGCCGATAAGAAGCGCCACGCCACTTCTTTATCAGATTATTGTTATTCCGATTCCGTTAGATTAGAGTGTAACGGGTGAAATGTGTGTAAATGTGTCACGAATAATTGTTTATTTTTTATTTATTTATTTTATATTATTATTATTTTTTTAGATTTTAAAACACATATTTTTAATATTTTTTTTTATTTTAGAATTTTAAAACATATATATTTATATATTTTTTTAATTTTAGTTTTATATTATATATATATATTTTTAATTTTAGATTTTATATTAATAGATTTTATAAACTATATATTTTTTTTAATTTTAGATTTTATAAACATATATATTATAGATATTTACGTATGTATGCAAAGATGGATATGTACAAACACACATATCAAAGCACACGCAACACGCATACACGCACACACACACGATACCACGCGCGCGCATTACACACAACACACAGCACACAGTCACACAACACCACACACACCACACACAACACACACACACACACAACACCCACACACACACGCACACACCAACCTCTCTCTCTCTCTCTCTCTCTCTCTCTCTCTCTCTCTCTCTCTCTCTCTCTCTCTCTCATCTCTCTCTCTCTCTTCTCTCTCCTCTTCTCCCCTCTCTCCTATCTATCTCTATATATATATATATATATATATATATATATATATATATTATATAATATATATATATAATATAATATTATATATATATATATATATATACATATATATTTTATATATACATATATATGCATATATATTATAATATAAGTAATATATATATATATATATATATATATTATATGATATATATATACCAGTATATATATATATAACATACCATACATACATACAAGTACATACAGGCAGCACGACACATATTGATAAGATAGTATTTACATATGCACAGACACACACCACCAATTACACTATCAAGTGTAAAGACACATCGGTTGAGCACCCATTGTCGGCGCCACATTGTGTTAAACACAGTCTGTGGACATCGACACACACTAATTCATACTACACACAACCAGGCACAGAGACAGGTATGTTTGACGATTTTCCATTACACACACACACTTGACGTCACACAATTCACGCACAACTAATTGGACACAGCATTCATCAAGACACATCAGACACACCGTCACACCTCTCATCTCTTCTTCGTCTCTCTCTCTCTCTCTCTCCGTCTCTGCCTCTCTCTCTTTATCTCCTCTCCTCTATGCTCCTCTTCTCGTCTCTCTCTCCTCTCTCTCTCTCTCTCTCTCTCTGATGCTCCCTATCTTCTCCTCTCATAATATATATATATATATATATATATATATATTATATATATATTATATATATATATATATATATATATATAGGCACACATATATGATAGATAGAATTTACATAGGCCACGCACACACACACACCACACACCACACACAACCAACACACACACACACACACACACCCACACCCAACACACACACACACACACACACACACACACACACAACAGCATTACGCCACACATTCGTACATACAATGTGTGGATGATTAGAAACCGACCCTTAAAGTTATGTGGAATTATTTTTTATTAATAAAGGCATGAAATCCTGACCTTCAGATTTTATTATTTGTTATTAAAGCGATTGTTCGGCTGAAGGTCACGTGACTGAGACATTTCGTGGGATTTGTGTGATTGACCTTCCGTTTAGTTGTTAATAAATCATCATCATTGTTATTATTATTATTATATCGTTATTTTTATTATTATAGTTATTATTAACATTATGATTGTTATATTCATCTATTTTGTTCTTATTGTTGTTATTTTATGAAGGTATAATCACCATAATCATCATTATTGTTATTATTGTTATTGTTATATCGTTGTTATTTTTATTATTATAGTTTATTCATTGAATATTATGATTGTTATATTCATCTTCATCATTGTTATTATTATTTTTTAATTATTTTTGTTCTTATTTTATTTTTAGGTATATCACCATAATCATCATTAGTGTTGTTATTGTTATTGTTATATCGTTGTTATTTTTATTATTATAGTTAATATCATTAACATTATAATTGTTATATTCATCTTCATCATTGTTGTTATTTTTGTTCATTGTTATTATTATTTTTTATTTTTTTTCTTATTGTTATTTTATTAAGGTATAATCACCATAATCATCATTATTATTGTCATTGTTATTTATCATTGCTAATACTAGTACTTCAAATATGTTATTATTAATAGTCTATGGCATCTAAATTCTAGTAATTATTGTTTAAATCTCTTCCTTTTGGTGATTTTTGAGATTTAATTTTGCTTTATTTACACATTTTCTCTCTTTTCATTATTATTAATTTCATGTTTATCATTAGTCGAATTTTAATTGGTTATTTATTTCATGTTTATCATTAGTTTAATATTAATTGGTTATTAAATATCATCTTTGTAACGTATTTTTATTTGTGTGGATTTTCTCGAGATGGGTTGATACTGACCGTTGAAATTCCCCTTTAAATCTATTATCACGTGGCTGTTGCCTCTCTCCTCCCCTCCCCCTTCCCCCTCCCCTGTCTCTTTGTCTGCATCTGTGTCTCTTTTTCTTATTATTACGACAACCCACGCGGGTAAAATAGCCGCCCCCCCCCCTTCCAAACACTCTTCCTACTTCCTTTATCGTCTTTCTCTCTTCCTTTCTTTCTTCTCGTTTACTCCTTCTTCCTTTTCTTCCCTCCTTTACGCCTATTCCCTTCCCTCCCCCTCCCTTCCCCATACATCTCTCTCTTCCTCCCTCTTGGCTATTCCCTCCTCCGCTCTCCCTCCCCGTCCCCTCCCCCCCACCTCCCCCCCACAAGTCCCCTAACCCCGTCCTCGTCCTCCCTTCTCCTACCCTCCCTCCTCCCTCCCTCCCTCCCTCCCCATCCTCTCTCCTCCCTCCCCGTCCCCCCGCACCCCGCCCCCCCACTCCCTAACCTCCCGATGTCCTCGTCTCCCTTCTCCCCCCCTCCCTCCCTCCTCCCTCCTCCCTCCCCCCTCCCTCTCCCCCCCTCCAGCACCCATCACATCCTCCCAGGAAATATTTTAAACCCACGGAACCCCGATTTTTTTTATTATTCAATCAATTTATTTCTGAATATCAGTTCAGCTCTTCTCCCTTTTTTGGGTATTAAATGATAGATATTTATCTAATTTATCTATCGGGAATTTAATTTTCTTTACATTAAATTCTTGGGATTTTTTAAATGTACATTTTTGTTTTATTACAAAAATGGATGAATGTTTTACATCACATAGGTGCGGTATGTCACATTCTTCTTGGGAAAAAAGGTCTTTATCGAACCTCTTGATATCTGTATTAAATTTGCTCTTTTTTTATCCATTCTTTTATGAACTATGAAGGGCAGAGTCACTTGTTTTTTAAATGTATTGGTGGCATATTGTGCGCCGGAGTTGAGTCGCGTGGCGGCATCTGGCAGCGGGCGAGGGACGCGGGTGGGTGAGTCATGCCCAGCTTAGTCCGGATAATCGCATACACAGGGGGGTTGACATACATACCTATATATGGCGTTTCCGTATCGTGTTTTGGTGGTAGTTTGGGGTGGCGGCTGGCCTTTTTGTCCCGGTCGTCTCAAACGGTATTTTGGTTAAGTTTTATATCGTTTGAGCGTGTTTTTTTTTAGTTTAATGGTTGCCGTGGACGTATGGTTTGTGAAGGTTTTGCTGAATGGCATTGGGTGAGGAGTCTGTTATGCCATTATCCGGACTGGGTACAGCCGGTCTCGAGAGCCGTTGAGAATTCATCTGAAAGACACTTCCTGGCGCACACACGCACACGGACATGTGCACCACGCGCACACTCACACGTGCACGCAAGCTTATGGGCATGTGTACACACGTACCCAGGCATACATGCATATTTACATTCACATACTCAAGAACAGTCACACACGCACTCTCTCTCTCTCTCTCTCTCTCTCTCTCTCTCTCTCTCTCTCTCTCTCTCTCTCTCTCTCTCTCTCTCTCTCTCTCTCTCTCTCTCTTCTCTCTCTCTCTCTCTCTCTCTCTCTCTCTCTTCTCTCTCTCTCTCTCTCTCTCCTCTTCTCTCTCTCTCTCTCTCTCTCTCTGCTCTCTTCTCTCCTCTCTCTCGTTCTCTCATCTCCTCTCTCTCACACACACAACACACACCACACCAAAGACAGACCACCACATCGAATATTTCGCACACACACAAACCACAAGTTGTTAGGGTCAGTTTCCCATATCATTCAGTTTCTTAAAGTAGAATAGAAGTAGTAAAAGCAGGAATGAAAGGAATAAGAAAGAACGATGGATAAAGATTAATGGTATGGTATTGGTGGGCAATTGGTGGGACTATATCACTCGGGGTTATGGGGTTATCCTTATTCATCACCATCACGTCAATCATTATTACTATTATTAGCTTCGCCATTGATTTATTATTATTATATTATTTTAATTATTAATTATTATTATTATTAATTATTATTATTATTATTAATTATTACTTATTATTACAATTATTATTTTCTTATATGTAGTTATGTATTATTATAAATTATCTTTTTATTGTTGTGTTGTTGTTGTTGTTGTTATTTTGTTGTTATTATTTTATTAGTAGTAGTAGTATTGTTATTGTTTTATCATTAATTATTATATTATTGTTATCATATTATTATATAA